GCCACAAGAAGAACCAAAAAAGAAATGCTGTTGTTGTTCTTAGTTAATTACCATTGTTGCACAGAGAATTCCTTAATTGTTAGTTTAGCAAGTTTTTCGTAATTAAAAAGTTTTCGCCGAATAACTTGTGAACTCGTTGGAAAAAGATAACTTCTTATTAAATATTCCGCACTTCTATCAAAACTTTCCGATTCGACCCCCCCACTTGATCGTGGAGTGCACTCTTTTTTTTTTCTTTTGTTTCGGTTGCATTTTTTTTTGTTTTTCTCCTTTGTTTCATCGCAGCGAAGTTTAAATTAAGAAAATGGAAAAATATTATTAATTGCCGGAGGGTTTGAAAAAAATATAGATAAATATAGTAGTGGAGATTTTTAATTTAATCCAATTCGGAGAGAGGAGTTTCCATGAAGAACGATGAGCTGTGTTTAGGAAAAACAGGTGTAATGAAGCTCTGGTTTATGGTGGGCATTAGTTCCAGACCGGTTTTTTTTTTTATACGTACCAAATAAACTTTTTCTCATTAACTTCGAGGAACTAATTTTCATATAAATCTTAAATAATCGCTGCGGCCGTGGAGGATAATTCGAAATAGTAAATGTAATTGGCTTTAACGCTAAGTTAAATATATTAGTTTAATTATTACGTAACGGTGAGTTAAGCGACATCTAACGGTGTACGCATAAACTGCGTCTGTAGAATGACAGTTAACTGACAGCGAGTTTTCGGGTGGTTGCGGCTGAAAAAACGAGATGGCGCTGGGTGTGTTAACTGAAAATTTATATTTTTTCAGGATTTCGCAGTGAAATTAGATGCTGTTTTTCAATTTAAAAATTGACAGGCAGGTATAAATAATATCGCGAAAGATTGATGATTCGCACCGGTTTTTGCTGCAGCTGTTTCAAAATTTGATCTCGAAACGCTTAACTGCCCGTTAGAATATCTATGTGACGGCTGCGAAATTGCATTTCTCTGACCACCCCCCCCCCTCACGTCACATCCGGAATGTGTGACGGGGTTGGTATGAATGTGTGCGAAGCTTTCGCAATGTTCCAACTATCTAGTGTGTGCACACTGCATTCGTTTGTAATTATTGACCTGAAGTCGAGTCGTATCGATAAGGGAATTGGATTGGAACAGATACTGTTGTGATACACGGGGGAGGAGGAGAGGCTGCAAAATGCAAATGCGGAGACAAAGCGTGTCCGGAAAGGAGGAAGTTCGATGCTTCATACTCAATCGGCGAATGTCAACTGGTTCTGTACTTTTTAGGTTTTTCGCCTTTTTTTCCAGAGGTTTTTTTTTGTTACAGTTTTCTCGTTCGATGCGTGCAAGAACAACTGATGCGGAAAACGCAACAACGGAAACGACATTTTCTTCTTAGTTTATTTTTATTTATTTACTTCATGCTGTTATACATTTGTTACTACATCGTTTTTTTCAGTTTCAAATAGTTCATAATAGATATAAATAGTATTACTACATAATTTACTTTTTGTTTTATTCTCTACTTTACTCTCTTGGTATTTACTTCTCTTTCTACTTCAATGCATACTTTATTCTGTACTTTATTCACTACTTTTTTCTCTACTCTACTTACTACTTCACTCTCTACTTCAATTCATACTTGACTCTTTACTTCATTCTCTACTTTAGTCTACTCTTTATTTTACTGTTTTGGTATTTACTTCTCTTTCAACTTCAATGCATAATTTACTCTTTACTTTACTCACTACTTTACTCCATATTTTACTCTCAGTGTATTTTACTGTTAACTTCACTCTCTACATCAATTCGTACTTTAATATTTACTTAACTCTCATGGTATTTATTTCTCTTTCTACTTCAATGCATACTTTACTCTGTACTTTACCCACTACTTTATTCTTTACTTTACTTTCTACTTAACTCTATACTTTACTCTCGGTGACTTTTACTGTTGATTTCATTCTCTACTTTATTCTACTCTTTACTTTACTCTCTTGGTACTTTCTTCTCTTTCTACTTTAATGTATACTTCACTCTGTACTTTACTTTATATTTTTTCTCTACTCTACTCACTACTTCACTCTCTACTTCAATTTGTACTTTACTATTTACTTCATTCTCTACTTTACTCTACTCCTTACTTTACTCTTGGTATTGACTTCTCTTTCTACTTCAATGCATACTTTACTGTGTTCTTTACTCACTACTTTATTTTCTACTTTACTTTATACTTTACTCTCGGTGTATTTTACTGTTAACTTTACTCTCTACTTCAATTCGTACTTTACTCTTTACTTCATTCTCTACTTTACTCTCTTGGTATTTTCATCTCTTTCTACTTTAATGCATACTTTACTAGATACTTTACTCACTACTTTTTTCTCTACTCTACTAACTACTTCACTCTCTACTTCAATTAGTACTTTAATCTTTACTTAAATCTCTTGCTATTTACTTCTCTTTCTACTTCAATGCATACTTTACTCTGTACTTTAATCACTACTTTATTCTCTACTTCAATTTGTACTTTACTCTTTACTTCATTCTCTACTTTACTCTACTTTTTACTTTACTCTCTTATTATTTTCTTCTCTGTCTACTTCAATGCATAATTTACTCTGTACTCTACTCACTACTTTATTCTCTACTCTACTCTACTTACTACATTACTTCTTACTTTTCTCTATACTTTATTCTCGGTGTATTTTACTGCTAACTTCACTCTCTACTTCAATTCATACTTTACTCTTTACTTCATTCTCTACTTTACTCTACTCTTTACTTTACTCTCTTGGTATTTACTTCTCTTTCTACTTCAATGCATACTTTACTCTGTACTTTACTTACTACTTTACTTTCTACTTTCCTCTATTCTTTACTCTCGGTATATTTTACTGTTAACTTTACTTTCTATTTCAATTCGTACTTTACTCTTTACTTCATTCTCTACTTTACTCTACTCACTACTTTATTCTCTACTCTACTCACTACATTACTTTCTACTTTACTATATACTTTATTCTCTGTGTATTTTACTGTTAACTTCACTCTCTATTTCAATTCGTACTTTACTCTTTACTTCATTCTCTACTTTACTCTACTCTTTACTGTACTCTCTTGGTATTTACTTCGCTTTCTACTTCAATGCATACTTTACTATGTACTTTACTCACTACGTTATTCTCTTCTCTACTTACTACTTTACTCTATACATTACTCTTAGTGTATTTTACTGTTAACTTCACTCTCTACTTCAATGCGTACTTTACTCTACTTTATACTTTGGTCAGTAATTTACTCTATATTTTACTGTCTACTTAATTCTGTTCTTCAATATATACTTTATTCCCTACTCAACTCTCTACTTCTATCTATACATAACTCTCTTCTTTACTTCATTCACGACGTTACTTTCCACTTTACTCTTTCCATAAATCTCCACTACTCTTCCCCCTTAGTTCAAATCCTCTTTCATAATCCATAATCACAATTTAACTCATAATCAAACAGAAAACAGTAATCTTACAATCATAACTCAAGTACTAATATTAAATTATCTCAATCGCACAGGAAAAAATAGCTACAATTGAACGTAATTTTGTTGTTTACATCATTGCATTACAATCGTTAAGTAGTCCGACGAACGACGACGACGACTAAGACGAAGAACTGCAGTAGCCTTGAATGAGCCTTAAATTCCTTTAGATAATTCGTATTCATATTCAAATTGGGGCCACTTCCTCAATTTTCGTCAGTTTAAACAATAATCTGTTTGTTCTTCAATATTATTTGTACGTTTTGCTAATATTACCAACAACAACAACAAAAAAATCCTATTGAACATTCTCAATATTTACAATCGAAACGCTGTGTGTTTCACTTTACGTCGCCTTTGATCTTCTATTTTTCAACGTTTTTTTCCCCCCTTTTTCAATCAATCCTCATTTTCGAATATTCGCTGAAATATAAATGCACCACTTCGTTTAGGCTTTTTTACAATTTGCAGTTCTATTTTTAAAAGCCACTTTTCCTGCATGTATTGTTTTTTTTTGTGTTCAGTACGTAAATGCATGAGAGTAAAGTAATTAATTTGATTGAATAGATAAATAGATAATAGAAAAATCAATTAGTTTCTACGAAATTCAACGAAAATTCAAATGATTTCAACGACACTCTTCTTTCTACTACTTTCTACTTTTCCTGCATGTATTGTTTTTTTTTGTGTTCAGTAAGTAAATGCATGAGAGTAAAGTAATTAATTTGCTTGAATAGATGAAAAATCAATTAGTTTCTACGAAATTCAACG